AGAACATGTCCCTGGCGTTAAGCAGCACGTGACTGCACACATACACACTTATGTATACAAGCCCACATGTAAAATCCTTCCCCCCTTTTAACACACCATTCTGTACCTTGCATTTTCATGTAATTGTATATCTTAGAAATTGTCCCATGTTTGAAAGTTTCCTTTTGGGGGAGATAACCCATGTGGGCTAGTGGCTGGCCCAGGAGTTGTTCCCCAAGTCCTGGCCTCCGTGCTGGTGTGGAGTAATCAGTGGTGTGTTTGCTGCCGAGGTCGGACACTCCTGTCTGATGCCATGTCCCACATGGTGTGCCTTCTGCCTTCCCCAGGGCCAGGGCCCAGAGAGGCTGGTGTCTGGCTCAGACGACTTCACCATATTCCTGTGGTCCCCAGCAGAAGACAAGAAGCCCCTCGCACGGATGACGGGACACCAGGCCCTCATCAACCAGGTGGTCTTCTCCCCTGACTCCCGCATCGTCGCCAGCGCCTCCTTTGACAAGTCCATCAAACTGTGGGACGGCAGGACGGGCAAGTGAGTGGGGGCGTGGGGATGGAGGGGTGGGCCACTGTTCTTCTGGAAGGAGTCTGGCGCTGCCACTTACTAGCCGTATGGCCTGGGCAAGTGTTTGGGTTTTCTGAGCCTCCTTTTCCTCTTCTGTAACATGCAGACCCCGTACCTCTCTGCTTTGTTACAAAGATTAAATAAGATGGTACATTTAGCACCAGCATTAAGTGAGTGCTGAAAATGCTAGTTCGTTTTGCATCTAAAGAGAAAAATGATCTTAAAACTGGCTTTCCTCAAAGTGTGGCCCACAAACTTGTGGCAGTGACATCACCTGGGAGTCTGATAGAAATTCAGAACCTGGGGCCCACCCCAGACCTTGTGACTCAGAATTTTTTACAATTTATTTTCCAATCACAGTTCACATACACTATTATAATAGTTTCAGGTGTACAACACAGTGATTAGACATTTAGATACCTTACAAGTGATCACCCTGGTAAGTCTGGCACCATACATAGTTGTTACAATATTATTGACTATAATCCCCATACTGTACTTTACATGCCTGTGACTATTTTTATAACTGGCAATTTATACTTCCTAAATCCCTTCAACTTTTTCACCCATTCCCCAACCCCCCTCCATCTTGTAACCATCAATTTGTTCTCTGTATCTATGAGTTTGTTTCTGTTTTGTTTGTTCATTTATTTTGTTTTTTAGATTCCACGTATAAGTGAAATCATATAGTATTTGTCTTTCTCTGATTTATTCACTTCGCATAATACCCTCTGGGTTCATCCATATTGTAATAAACGGCAATATTTTATTTTTTTTATGGCTGAGGAACATTCCATCGTGTATACGTACCACCTCTTCTTTATCCATTTGTCTTATCAATGGCCACTAAGGTTGCTTCCACATCTTGGCCACTGTAAATAATGTTGTAATGAGCATAGGTACATATATCTTTTTGAATTAGTGTTTTAGATGTCTTCAGATAAATACCCAGAAGTGGAATTGCTGGGTCATAAGGTAGTTCTGCTTTTAATGTTTTGAGGAACCGCCATACTGTTTTCCACAGTGGCTGCACTGATTTACAGTCCCACCAACAGTGCACAAGGGTTCCCTGTTCTCCACATCCTCATCAAGCCTTGTTTGTTGATTTATTGATGATGGCCACAGAACCTGCATTTTAATAAGGCTGCCAGGTGATTCTGCTTGTCTTTAAGTCTGAGAAGCAAGCCCTGGTGTAATGAGGCACAGTGCCCTCGGTGTTAATCAGGTTGGAGGAGAGGCAAACGCTTGGGAAGGAGCAAGGGAAACCGCTGGCACCTGTGTGTCAGCCGAGTATTTTCACATAGCAACCCTTTGAAATAGGCCATTCAGTCCCTTTTTAAGGGAAGGAAACTGAGTCTCAGAGATGCCAATAGACACCGCTAGTCTGTATTGATCTGAAAGTTCCAGGTGGGCCTGGCCCAGTATTACTCCATGCCACCTGTCAGCAAGCAGCTGCCGTGTTGAGGGGCTGTCAGGCAGGTGGCTAAGCAGATGGCTGCCTTGGATTCTAAGGCGTGCAAAGTCGAGTGGGTATGGAGGCCTGGCAAGAGGCACCCTAGAAACAACTCATTTGGAGAAGTTTTACAAATGCATAATGAGCAGTAATGATTAAATTGGTCTGGGGTGGGGGCCAGGCAGTGGGATTTTGTAAAAGTTCCCAGCCAAGGTTGAGAAGCACTTCTGTGGGCACAGAGGATCCTTCAGACGTGTTTGAAGATCTAATACCCATCCTCATCTTCCCCTGGCCCAGGTACCTGGCTTCCCTGCGTGGCCACGTGGCTGCTGTGTACCAGATCGCATGGTCAGCCGACAGCCGGCTCCTGGTCAGTGGCAGCAGTGACAGCACATTGAAGGTGTGGGATGTGAAGGCCCAGAAGCTGGCCACGGACTTGCCAGGCCATGCGGATGAGGTACGGCCGACTCTTGTGGGCAAGGAGTGGGTATGGAATTGAAGCCTGCCCCCTTCCCCACCCCTCCTCACTGCCCCCCTTCCCCTCCGCCTCCTCCCTTTTAGGTATATGCTGTTGACTGGAGTCCAGATGGCCAGAGAGTGGCAAGTGGCGGGAAGGACAAATGCCTCCGGATGTGAGTTTGGTGGTAGTTGGTGTGCTTGGCTGTCCTGCCCGTTGAGTCGTTGCTATTTGCGACTTTCCCTTCTGGCGTAGAATTCTGAGGGCTCTCCAGGTACCCAGACTGTCCTGAGATGGTGTGTGGAGCTAGGTTCTCAGTGGGCAGTGGGAGGCCTGTGGGAATTGCAGGGATGATGGGAGACCCTGACAATTCTGAGAACAGGGTCGCTCCAGCACGAGACAGTAGTTCTTGGTTAGCACTGGACTTGGGAGTCCTAAGACCTAGTTCAAATCTGGTTCAGCCTTGCAGTGTGTCATCTTGGAGAGCTTGGTTAACCTATCTCTTGGGGGTTATCAAACCTCGGTAGACAAAAAGATCAAAGATAGGAGGTAAACACACCTTGGAACCTGAAGCATTGTGTCCTTATAAAGGCCTGTCACTGTCATTGGACAACTTGGGTGGGCGTCCCAGGGGCCAGGCCCTGGGCCGAGGTCCTGGCTGAGGCAGGCAGTGGGTGCTTAGCCTGAGTTTGGGTGACCAGAGCAGAGATGGTAGCCATGCTCTTGATGACTGAGGGGAAACCACAGATTCTTCCCGTAGTGGGCCCCTGGGATTACATGGCAGCCTCCCTTTCCTGCTGCAGACTCCTGGTCCCATTCCCTCCCCTTCTCTCTCCACAGATGGAGGAGATGAGAAATCCCATAACTCTCTCTGACCCCCGCGTGGACTCGGCCTGTGCCAGCCCTGACAGAACAAAGGCCGGGGTGGCGACCCTGAGAACGAGCGTGGCCTGCTGTCCTTGGACAGACCCCAGTGGGGCTGCTCCCAAGAGCAGGAGATCAGAGGTCACAGGAGGTTGCCGCAGAGCTCAGCCCGTGGCCGTCACTCTGTACGTTGCTGGTGCCAGCGGGGGTGTCAAGAGGCCAGGCAATGACTGGACCCCTCCTGCTATCCTGTCTCCTTTTCCAGATGTCACCTCTCTTTAGGGGCTGACCCCAGACTCTGTGACCAAATAAATAACTTATATTTTGTGTGTTCAGGTTATAATTCCTTGTCTAGAATCCCAGGGCTCAACCAAGGTCTGTGCTAAGTTAGTTTGCCTAGTTCCCTCCCTCTGCACTGGGCTACACCAAAACCATACTGACCAGGAAGTCACCTGGCCTCTCTCCCCTGTGCCTACGAGGGAGAGGCCAGTTGAGGCCGAGGAGGCTGGCTGAAGCCCCGATGATAGTGGCCAGAGGAGAATCTAAAACTGTGCTGTCTGATGTGGTAGGCACCAGCCACATGTGACTATTCCATTAACTAGCATTCCATACAGTCAGAAATGCAGTTCTCCGTCACTCTCGCTCAAGACTACTTGTATCAGCACAGATAGATAATGCTGTCATCATCACAGGGAGTTGTGCAAGCCAGTGCCAGCTTCTCACACAGCACACTTCTTGAGGCCCTGCCATGCACTGAGCACTGTGCTAGGCTCTTAGGGTGATGGTTGTCCTGGAGGACTCCCTCTCTAATGGGGCATGCAGTGGTGACAGCTCAGGCCCAAGGGGGTGTGGTGTGATAAGGGAGGTTGGTTCTCTGTCCCTGGAGGACTTCACAGAATGAAGGGAATCCCCACCAGGACACCCACAGACCCTTGACCAAGATCATGCCCTCCATGCATCCTGCCTCCACTTTCTCCTGTCCCTGTGCTTAGGCACGTTGACTCAGGCTGAACTTCCAAACCACTCCCATCTGTGCTTTTACGATTTGGCACATGGCTAGCTGTGGTTCTCAGCTTCCATCTTGCACATCTGCAGTGAGGCTATGGGAGGGACAAAGGGAGGCACCAGTTGTTGAGCTCCTATCTGTGCAGGCACTTTTTCTTCTGTGTGTGTCCTCACATGACCCTCACAATAACCCTGCAGCCATGCCTGGAAGGGTCTCACGTCCCCATATTTTTGATGAGGAAACAGCCCAGGAAGCTTAAATGATTTGCCTATGCCCTCACATCCAAGAAGAGCCAGGATTAAATCAGACTCTGCCCTTTGTACACTTTGCACCATGTCCCTGAAGAGCTTAAGTCTGATGCTGACAGCGTACGGGCTGCCACCACTGTCCAGCATTGCCGTTTTTCCTGGTGAGTGTGTTTTAGCCTCAGCACCAGTCACTTCCTCCCACAGGGAAAGGGATGATGTTGGCAGAGCCAGGCAGTAGATGGTGGTGGCATCCCATTGCCCTCTCCCTTGTTGACTGCCCTCCACCCACCTGGACTCTTGGTCCTGGCAGAAGCTAGGAAGCTGGTTGCCAGCAGCCCAACAGGCTTTCCGCAGCGTGAAGCAGAATTTCAGGGTTCTGGGTAACCTGCAGTTCTTTAATGAGGGACCTGGACCTAGCCCAGATCTGGGGAGGGGGTTGCCTAGCAGCTGTGGGCAGTGGCTAACCTGGCCTGTGGTGTCTCCAGGCAAATGGAGCTCCTATCTAGCCTGGGCCCTGACCCAGGGGTGGAGTTCAGTACTACTGCCGCCAGGGCCTGGGCTGGCAGGGTGGTCATCGGTTCCCTGGCATGGTGCAGGTGGTACATTTCAGGGTTCTGGTTGTGAGCGCCCTGGGCCAAAGTCGAAGGTAGGTGAGGGGCTTCCTGGGGCCCTCCCCCTTAGTAGGGAAATAAGTTTTCTAGATCTTCCATCCTCCGCATGTCCTCCAGCCCGATGGTCACTGTCCTCCGCTGGAGTTCCTTGCGCTGCACGGTGATCTGGATGGGGTTGTTCTCAGGGAAGCTGTTCAGGTCAGTGGCCACAGTTGCAAACTGAAATAACACGAGAAAAACCCTCAGACTTCCTCCCCAGACCTGACCTCTTCATTTTCGCTACCCTCTTGTTTGCTAAATGGGGTCCTTAGCTTGCTTTACCAACTTACCTGTCGACACCAAAAACAGGTACAAAGAGGTATGATTCTAACCTGTGATGTTTCCATCCACAGGGCTGTGTACTTGGGCCTTACCCCGACCCCGTGCCCCTGTCCACCCCACCCCCCAGGCTGCTCAGTGTCCCCTTTCCCTCAATGGGCTCTTGACTTCCTGATCCACTCATAATTACTCATACCAAGTTGAAAGATGAACATTATAGTGATGCTGATGAATACATTAGTTTGCATTCCCAGTGGGTGCCAAAGTGGCTTAATCCTTAAACCTTCCTGAAGAGAACAGCCTGGAATTGATGTGTATTTGCCCAGGCAGAAGGAAAGCAAGCAGGGAGATGAGTCATGGGGGTATAGGGGTGTCCTCAACCTCCAAGACCTCTCTCCCTGACCCCTCAGGCCCCTTTTCCCAGGGCTCACTTTGTAGGGCTTGGACCACTTCCCCACCCCAGCTGTGTTGGCTGCACGGACGGTGAGGCAATAACTCCTGTTAGGCTTCAGTTCCATCAGCTTGACGGTGGTGCCCAAGATCTTGTTGAAGATCCACGGGCGATTCTTTGCCTTGGGATGCTCACTGAAATTTTTCTTGGTTACATCCTGCAACAGGACCTGGTAAAAACTGACCTGCTGCTTGCCCAAGGCATAGGTCCAGGAAATCTAGGGGAAGAGAGCCCCCAGGGCTTCCTCAGACCTGGGCTGGCCTGGCCTCCCCTCACCCCTGCCCCCGTCACCCCACCCCCTGACCACCCACTCCCATCCGCTGCCCCTGCTGGAGCTGAGGCAGTTCTAATGGGAGGTGTAAGGCACTCCAATGATGTGGAGCCATCACCCCACAGCACATGCTACTCTCCCTGCACGGCGCCACCCAACTCAGAGTGGGCCCTTTTTCCATATTTCTTCTAGACTGTGTCAGCTGAGAAGGAATTTAGGATCATCACGTCCATCTTGCTCATTGCAGATTGGATTAAAGGTTCAGAGAGGGTAAGTGGCTGGCCCACAGTCACACAGCAATTAAGTGACAGAGCCAGGGTTCAAACCAATAGCTCCAGAGCCCATACATGTGGTACTACAACCCCAGTTGCCAATCCCGGCTAAGGATTTGAGGGAGTTTTAATAACACTGCAGATTCCTGGCCTGCGGCCTCCTGTCTGGTCTCCCGTTTCCAGTTTCTCCTCCATCTAGGCCAGTCGTTCTCAAATTTTGGTATGCATCAGAGAACTTTTTAAAACACAGATTGCAGACCCCAGCCCTGTCAGTTTCTGATTCAGTAGGTCTACGTTGGGGGTGGGGGACAGTGGGCAAGAATTTAAATTTCTAGCAAGTTGCCATGTGATGCTGACACTGCTGGGGGTCATCTGGGAACCACACTTTGAGAAACACTGCTCTAGGCCATCCAACGTGGGGCTTCCAGATTTATCTTCCTAAAATACAGCTCAAATTGCATCCATCAGATATAAAGCTCTGCAAAACGCTGTTCCCTATTGCTTACAGAAAAATCTATACAGCAGTAGCCCAACATTGGAGGACCTCCCGGAAAATGACCCCAAACTAATTTTCCCCCTCTATTCCCCTTCCGTTACCCTAGGACAGTGCTACTCCACGTATGGTCTGTAGGCCATCAGCACCACCTGGGAACTTGTTAGCAGTACATATTCTCAGCCCCACCCCAAGCCTACTGGATCAGAACCTCTAGGGTTGAGGCCCAGGAATCTCGTTTTTAACAAGATGATCAGATCTGCAGGCACATGCAAGTGTGAGATGCCCTGGATTAGAACCTGGGTGTCTCCTTCCCAAGTTTCCCACCTATGAACCTTTGCTTGTGTCAGCCCATCCACGGAATGCCTTTCCACCATTTCCAGATGTTGAAATCCTACCAAGAGCCACCAAGCTAATTCCTGCACCTGGAAGTAATGTTTCTTTGCCCCTGAATTCCTGGTGGCATCTGAACTCTTCCTATAGCGCTGAGCCCTTTCTAGCTTGCACTGGAGTTCTTTACAAACATGCCCTCTCTCCTAACTCATGAACTTGAGGTCAGGATGCAGGCGGTAGGCATCTTGACACTCCCCCACAGAGCTCAGCTCAAAGCCTGGCACATTGGGGGCAGACATTAAGCATTTGCTGAAAGTACACGGTAGGGGAACGCACCACGGCTGTGGAATCGCTGACTGTGTGTTCACAGATGAAAGGTGCTTCTGGTATGTTCATGACCACAGAGGACTCCGAGGGTGTTGAGGAAGTGTCCTTGTCCAGCTCAGGGTTGTCAAGGTCCAGCAGACCTCTAGTGGCCGTTTCAGACTTAGATCGGTGGGGGCTGAGGGCCAGCGCCCCCTTTTCTGTATTCTTGGCCATGGAGGAGATGCTGAGTTTGTTCAGCTCGCCTTCCAGCATCCCTGCAAAGAAGCTGCTGTTGGGCTGGGTCACTGCCAATTTGATGGGATTCAACAAGGTGGATGAGATGGGAGAGATGCTGGTATCATCTGAGCTACATTCAGAATCCTCTCCTGGCATTGGCTTCCTGGAGTGGGAAGGGAGATGGATAAGCCAGATGAAGGAGCCCCCCCCCGCCCCTCCCTCCCAGCCCATGCAGTTTGGAAGCTCCCAGAGGCCATGCCTTGGGCCTGACTTACAAGGGTCCCCAGCTGCTTCTGAACAACTCAGAACAGCGGTTCTCAACCTGTGGGTCGTGACCCCTTTGGGGGGTTGAACAACCCTTTCACAGGGGTCGCCTAAGACCATCGGAAAACAAAGAGATATTTACACTATGATTCATAACAGCAGCAAAATTACAGTTATAGAGTAGCAACGAAAATAATTGTGTGGTTGGGGGTCACCACAACATGCGGAACTGTATTAAGGGGTTGCGGCATTAGGAAGGTTGAGAACCGCTGACTCAGAACATCCTTGCTACTGTGCAGCAGTGCATCAAACCCACCAGGGCACTTATATGTGAAAAATGCAGCTTCCTGGTCCCCAGTCCCCAGGAGGGATGGGGACTGGAGAAGCCTCAAGTTAATAGGATCCTCAGACAATTCTAACGCAGGTGTTCTGAGAACCACAATTTGAGAAAGACGGCCAAAACTTTAAGTCCTCCCTCCAAAGTGGGGTGCAAATGCTCCAGGAAATGACCACAGTGATCTACTGGGGTATGGGAAAATATCTAAAAGTAGAGAAATAATAAATTAAGCTTCAATAATATTTATTTCCTATTGTTTAATATTTAATGTAATTACTAACTTATTTACTTAGAATTTAACATGTAAAATATGTAGCATGTAAAATTAACATAAATACACATATACTGGGGTGAATTCTCAAACTTTTCAAAATTATGAACTATTTGAGACATATCCAAAGATATCAAGAATAATATATTAAGCTTTTATTTATCCAGCTTCAGAACTAAAAGCCTCATCAGTTTAGTTAAGGTCCCCTGGACACGTCTCCCCCTACCTCAGTCCTCATCCTCCCTCTAAGAGCTAACCAGTAAAGTTTAAATTTTGTGTTTATATTATTTCCCATGTGTCTTTATAGGTTTATTACATATGTGTGTTATCCCTAAGCAAGGTCTATTTTGCATATTTTTAAACTTTGCATAAATCAATGGTCACATTGCATACATATCCATGGCAGCTTGCTTTTTCACTCACCATTGTGCTTTTTAGATCCATCTGTATTATACGTGCAGCGCTGACTCAGTCATTTTGATTGTTGTGTGGTTTTCCGTTATAGGGATATTTGTTACCAATTCTTTACTATTACAAGGAAAAACCTTGTACATGTTTGCCCACTATTTCTTTTTTTTTTTTTTACTAATGAAGTGCAGAACCCCCAAGATTTGGCTTTCAAATCTTTTTTGACCTTGACACAAAGCAATACACATTACATGGCAATGTCGTAAACACATACATACACATAAAACTAAAACGGTTGCACAAACCAGGACTTAACTCTATGAGCGATATGCTCTGGCATTTCTGATCTGTTTTATTTCATTTTATACTAGTCTCCACCAACTAGAATGAGTTCCTGACCCATTCATGGGTCACAACCCACAATTTGAAGAGCATTTGTCTAGAGAGAGCAGTCAAGGTCACATGGTGAGTTGATGGCAGAGTTTGAACTAAAACCCAGATCTCCGGAGTGCCAGGCCTGTCCCATTGCTATGTAGCTCCCATCTGCCCCTGGCGCTTTCTGGCTCTTCTCCTCTGCTTCCTACACCATCTCCCCCAGCTGCTCTGGCCAAGTCCAGCAACCGACACACACCCCTGGATCCCTTACTCCAGGCCAGCCTCAGGCTTCATAACTCAATGACGGGCCAAATATTTCCTCCCTGAGCTCCAGCCCCATCGGCCTCCTAAAAAATCCTGATCAACTCAAAGCTCCTATGCTAGCCCTTGGTGGACATTTAGAATAGGTGGTTCCCCCACCAAGGTCCTTAGTAGGCTGAAAAGCCTGAGTATTAATGCCATTTATACTTCAGATTGTCCTAATGAATCTACATTTTAGATTTACTTATTCAAAACACCAGTGCTTAAGTGGGCATGGAAGACAGCTAGGCACTAGGCTACATGCTGGATATATTCTCTCCTGAACAGCCCTGCTGGGCGGGTGTTAGTCCCAACTTGCAAATTAGTGACCTTCAGTCTACAGCCATATATCTAAGTGGTAGAACTTGGCTTTGAACTTGGGCTCATAGCCCTAGTCTTTCCCACGATACCATGAAGCTTCCTATAAACATTCATCACTTTAGCCACACCTGGTTACTTACATGTCTATTAGGGAATGGACACCACATCCCTTCCATATAATCAAGATCAGCTACATAGTTTGTGGGTCCCCTTCTTCAAAAATTATTAAGAATTTCAAGACAGTGACAGCAGAGCATTGACGTTAAGCACAGGGCCCCTCAAGTGTAGGGTTGTGTATGACTGCACAGGTCACACACTCATGAAAATGCCCTGCAGATAACTCCCTCAGCCTACCTCCACCTGCACCACCACTCCTTCACTGGCTCACTGCTTCCCTTCCTAGGAGATTCAGCTCACGTATCACCTCCTCCAAGAAGCCTTCCTTAAGTGAACCCCCTCCCAAGCTATACTAAGCCCCCTCTGGTTCCTCAGTGTCCTGTCACAGTTGCATTATTCTCAATTCTTACCTGACACCCTCCCAACCCACCCCCCAACACACACACACACAGGCTGGGAGTTCCTTGAAGGCAGGGACTGTGCTTTTTAGCTCTGCATTCCCAGAACTTAACATTGGGCTAGACACCTTGCAGGAGTGCAAAGAGTTCCCTGGAATGAAGTAAAGGGAACCCAGAATACCTGAGGAGGAACAGTAAACCTCAGAACAATGGCAGGCAGGCTCCAGGGGGACATACTCAGGCAGCAGAAGGCACAAGAAGGGAGGACGGGGAGAGAGGAGCCATAGGGGAGTAGAATGGGGCAGGGGTGTCTGTGGGGGAAGAAGACCTTAACTGCACAAAGTAGATGAGGGGCACTGTCAACAAATCTCTGACTAATCCCGGGAGGCCTCCTGGAGCTGGAGGCGCACATGCCTCCAAGAACTGATCTGGGGTCCAGAATCCATGGTGCATCCTGCACGCATGCTCTTCGCTGGGAGCTCAGGACCTGGATGGTGACAGGCCCAGACAGTACCGCTTCTTCAAGCCCTTAGCCACCCCTCAGCTCTGGCCCTAGAAAGGAGAAAAGGACCAGACTTGTGTCTTACAGTAGATTGATGGTATCTTCCTCCAAGAAGTTAACCAAGCTGCCTCTTGAAGAAAGTGGGAGTCCTTTGGTAGCAACCGTCCTGTTCATAGACTTGGGGTTTGGAAAGGGCTTCGACTCTTGATCAAGCACACTCGAAACATTGAGGGTTTCCTTTTTCAGCATGGTCTCTTCCCCATCTCCCACTTTATAGAGCACCTCTGATGCCATCTAGCTTGTTTGGGACCACAGCTGTCACCGTGCAGGACAACCAAGCTGACAGGAGGCAGAGAGAAACTGGGGGCAGTGGACCCACCCTAGTTTGGGTGGGATGGGGGCGCAATGAGCTGACTTCATAATCATCACAGAGCATAACAATCAGGGGCCAGGCTCTCTCTTGATCTGAGGCTGCTGCCGCCCAGGGGCCAGGATCTGGAGGTGGGTAGGGCCAAGGAACAGACTCCATCACCCTTCCAGCTCAAATGCTCTGTGGTTACAGCAACCCTGTCCTTCTCTGAGAATCTGCTTACCACCTGTGCCCTTTGGTGCTGCCCTGGGAAGGAGGAGAAGGATGGTGGGAGAAAGGCACCTGGGCATGGAGGGAGGCAGCACTGGAACAGGTCTCTGGGAGTACGAGACTGTAGAATGCTGAGGCTCTGTATCCAAAACTTCTAGGCAGCACCCCCCCCCCCCCCCCCGCTATGTTCAGTCTCATAGGCATAGGGGAAGCCCATAAGTTCATGGAGTTTATAGCTCACATGAACCCAGGTTTTACTGCTAGAATTCTAAACATGCCACACCCTCACCCCAAATGTCTTCATGTTGAGTGACAATTGGGGGTGCCGCAATGGGGAACAAAGATGGGCCGGACATTTCTGTTCTCAAGGACACCACTCTACAGGAGGAAAGCACACAACTTTGGGGGTAAGAAGAGAGGCTGTTAAAAGAGCACTGGCTTTGCACTTAGATGTGGATTTGTCTGCTCTAAATCCAGCTCTGCCCTTACAAGCTCTGTAATCTTTGGCATATGACTACCTCCCTGAGCCGCAGTTTCCTCATCTGTGAAATAGGGATAAAAATAGCACCTACCTCATTGGATTATGAGGAGATAACTCTGTAAAGTTGTTTTCTTTCTTCCAAGACGGGGCAAAGCAAAGGACATTTAAAAATAACAAATCCTGGGCCGGCCGAGTGGCGCAATTGTTAAGAACTGGCTTGGGACGCCAGAGGGCCCTGGTTCGGATCCCACATATGAGGGCCAGTGACACTGCCCTCTACAGCTAAGATGCTGAACAACAGCTCAACCTGGAGCTGGGCTGCCGTGAGTCGCCGGTGACGGCGTAGGCTGCAGCCCCTGTGGCAGTGGGCTGCCATGGGCTACCGTGTGTAGCCAGCAGCCAGCGTGAGCGGCCAGCAGCTGCAGTGAGCGACCATCCAGAAGCCGGTGACTGATCTGCCTCACCCGGGAAGAGCGCAATGATGGTGCCAACTTGGGCCAGTGAAGCAACGTCCTCCACAACTAGACTGAAGAAACAAAAGGATAGCAACTTGTCTGTTCCCCTTCCCCCAATTCCCCAGCACTGTTCCCATCCCCCCAATTCCCCAATAAAAAAAAATCTAAAAAAAAACACACACACAAAAAAACAAATCCTATTTTTTGTGTTCTATATACTCAGGGTTTTTGTTGTTATTCATTAAACAATGGAAAATACAGAGAAGCAGGTGCCTTCTGTGTGTTCTGCTGCTTCTTAGCACCAATGATATAATCTGTTATATCATACTATTTAATTGATTTGATTTCTCTCCACTGTCTTGCCCTCACTACCAAGTAGGTCCCCTGGGCATAGGGATGGCTAGCCTTGTCGATCTTCCTGGCCCAGCGTTTAGAACGCAGGTTCGCAGGAAGCCGCGCGCCCGTCCCTCGCGGCCAGCAGATGGCGCTGTCGGCCCGGCTCTGGAGCCTGGAAGCGGAAGCGGCGCTGCCGCCCGGGAGGGCGGGCCCTGGGCAAGGGAGACCCGGCGGGGTCCGCACCCTCGGTGCCGCAGCTTCCTTTCGCCCCCGCGCCGCCCGCGCCCCCCCAGAAAGAGGCGCAGCGAGGCGTCTAGAAAGGGCCTCGCGGATGCCCACTGGACTAGCCCCGGGTCCCCAGGGAACATGGGCATGCTCAGGGCCGGACTGTGCCCAGGCCTAACCCAGGACATGATCCAGCTTCTGAGGAGCCGCGGGATCAAGACAGGTGACCACGTGTGCGCGCCGCACAGCTGGGCACACCGCGGAGGCCAACCCCTCGGCCCTGGCATACCCGGGAGGGGGATACCCCCGCCTTCCTCTGCCCCTCACCCTTCCAAGAGGCTCTGAAGGTGGGAGTGGGCAAGCCGAACCCCAGGCAAGCTCCTGCTGCGGGCTCCGCACCACGTCAGGTCCTGATGGCTCTGGTAGTTCCCGTAGGCCTGCCCTAAAGTAGAATTGTCACCCCATTTAACAGATGAGGAAAAGCCTAGCGCGGGAAGCCCCGCCCCTCCTGTCAATCATCCACACTTGTTTTCTTTTCAGTGGTGGACCTGGTTTCCGCAGACTTGGAGGAGGTAGCTCAGAAATGTGGCTTGTCTTACAAGGTGAGCTGACAAACTACGTGCTCCAAACCTGGGTGTCTGTAAATGTCCATCCCTGAGCCACGGGAGTGAAGGGTTCCCAGAGATTGATAAGGGCCGGGGGTGGGTGGGTTGGGGGGGCGTATGAGACCCTGGGATGCCCCCTACCTTGGCTGGTCACTGCTCGTTGCGGAGTACTCTGTGGTCTGCTTTGGGTTGAAGTGCCCTGGCCTCATCCTGAGTTGTCCCTGCCCCTCCGCAGGCCCTGGTTGCCCTGAGGCGGGTACTGTTGGCCCAATTCTCAGCTTTCCCCTTCAATGGCGCTGATGTCTACGAGGAACTGAAGACCTCCACGGCCATCCTGTCTACTGGCGTTGGAAGGTTTGTGTGTGTACTTGGGGAAGAAGGTCAGAGGCAGGAGAACATGGCTGCTTCCTGCTTGGCTTTTGATGCGTGAGTCTAGAGAGCAGGGCTTTTCAAGCAGTGGTGAGGGCAGCATGGACCAATGGTTAAGCCTTCTGACTTCTCTTACCTTATAACAGGGTTTCTCTACCTTACACCCCTAACCCTGTGGAATGCATTATTCGGTGGTGATGGGGGTGTCCTGTGCGCTGTAGGATGTTTGGCAGCATCCCTGGCCTCTACCCACTAGAGGCCAGTAGCAGCTCCCTCCTCCCTATGTCATGACAATCAAAAATGTCTCCAGAAATTACCAAATAATCCTGGGGGAGACAGAATTGGCCCTGATTGAGAACCACTGTCCTGTAACCCAAGATGTCAATGTTTCATTTTTCAGCACATCAGAGCACCTCTTCTCTGGCCCTACCGCCTATTTAACTTATGGATAGAGCAGGACTAACATTTACAGAATGCATACTCTATGCCAGCCACCGACTATAGGTTATATAATCTCCTCACTGTATCCTGTGAGTTAGTAATTATTAACCCACTTGAGTTTAACCCAAGAAGAGTAAGGGGCAGAGGTGGGGCTCAAGGCTTGGGGTTCTTGACCCAGAACTTGGTGCATGCCCCATACTCTACAGCAGGAGGGGACAAGCGAGCTTCCATAAAGGACTAGTTGCATTCTGCCATGTTGTTGAGAGAGAGGGAGAGAGAGATGGAAGACAACAGCCAGTTTCTAGCCACGGGAGCCTGACCTCTTTCCTGGCCTGTTAGTGTAGAATTTGATGAAGAACCCTGCCACCAGAAAGATTTTTGGATCAGTTTGGCCCTTGCTGCTCCCCTGACACGTTCTCTTGGCAAGGTTCACAGCATGGTGCTTGCTACCCCTGGCTGGGGGTCTGAGTCTGTTATCCATCAAGCCCTGGCAGAGTGCCTACTGGATGGGTGCCCAATAACGTTCAGATGATAGGTGTACAAGTGAGGCAAGGCTCCTGCACTTGAGTGCAGGGTCCAGTGGGTAGAAAGATGAGCTGGTGAACACAACAGAGAGGTGCATGCACGCGTGGAGGCCGCATCAGAAAGGAGTGATTAACAGGAAACAGGCTTGGCCTTTGGGCTTAGGGAGCGTATAAAACCAGCAGGCTCAGAGGAAGCATTTAGGGAGCAGTCAAGTGGTAAACTGGCAGGATTTGCAGCTGCCGTGGGTCACTGCAGGGGAGATCAGAATGGTTCAGGAAAGGTCTGTGAAGGAAGCAGGCCTGGGGCATTAAGGACTGGCTGGGCTTTCTCTAAGTGCTGACCAAGAGCCGGGCACCATGCTTACACTTCATGGTGCATTATTTCATTTGCTCTTCTCAAGCACCAATGAGTGCATTACGAGGACTAAAATCACCGTTCTTTAGATGAGGAAACTGGGACTCGGGTTAGGTGGCTTACTCAAGAGCATGCAGCCAGCCAGTGGCAGACCAGGCCCTGGAAGTCACGTCCGTTATACTGCTAAGTCTAAGAGCCTGACTCGAACTCATCCACCCTGTTGTGTCCCTCGCGGCGGGAGGCCGTATTGTGAAAGTAGAGCTACAGGCGTGGAGTAGAGGTGTGCAGGGTGGATGGGACGAGGGACGCTGGCAGGAGAGAGGCCAAGGAGAGGGATGGCAGTGGTGGGGTGTGTGAGTCCGATCTAAGGCAGGTGACAGCGGGAGATGTGTTGAAGAGGACAAGTGACAAGCCTTACAGCCAGGTAGAATTCGGGCGCGAAGAATCAAAGATGACGTCCTAGGTTTCTCCTTCATCACAGTGGTCTGTGGACAGTTAATGAATGTAGATTTTGAAAGGAAACCAGGAGGGGAGTTCTTGAGTTAGAAATTTGGGAAATGCTCCAGTAACCCCAGTTAAACAGGTCTCTTTGTCATAGACCTTTTCAGAGCCTTTTGTGCTGATATGCAGTGTGGACCTTTATGAGGACAATGGAACATGTAGTGTTCCTTGGAAGAAGCTGTATGGACTGGGGGAGATGGGTGATTCCTTAAAGGCAATAGAAATATTTCTGTATCTCCCTCATTTTAGGATGAGGCCATCAGGAAATGTGGGGCATTGGGGTGATGTTTGAATGAATGGCTATGAAGGAACGACTAAAAGCCAGTTCAGAGGGAAAAGTAGAGGATAAATCCCAGAAATCACTTATATCCAAAACAAGTGGTAAAACGCAGGTGTTCTGCTCCACATGGCAGCAGGGTGTCTCTCCACGTCGATGTGGCCAGTTAGAGGTGATTGGTAGGGAGGTCCTCTAGGCAGAAGGAGATATGGAACAAAGCAGGTGAAAAGCCAGCTGGGAGGTGGAGTTGGAAATTCCTTACACAGAGTGATCCTTATGGCCAGGAATGTAATTGATTCTTTTTTGTTTTTGTTTTTCAGGTAGATGATTTTTTTTTTTCAGCTGAGCCATCCTGCCGCCTGTTGGCAGCTCAGCGGCAGCTCAGCTTGGGCGGGCATCGAACCGCTGTTGCTCAGAGCTCGCACTCTTGAGCGAGCTCTTAACCAGCTGAGCCACTCTGCCAGCCCTGTGCTTGATTCTTGACTGGAGAGTCAAGACCAGTGGTTTAGCCCAGGCTGCATGTCAGAATCACCTGGAAGCTTAAGAAATTATGCCTGGGTCTCACCTTTAGAAATTCTGACTTAACTGCTCTAGGCCAGTGGTTCCCAAACTTGTACGCGCATTAGAATCACCTGAGAATCCTTTTTAATGGATACATTTTTATTATAGGTCTGTATGTGATAGCATCATAAAAAATATTTAAATGACATTTAGTGTATTTCTGGTTATAAAAGTAACATGTACTCATAATAGATGATTTGCAACACACAGGGAAACACAAAGAAAAAAATAAAAACCACCTCAGTTAATAATTTTAGCTTTTTTGTGTCCATATGTGTGTGTGTGTGTGTGTGTGTGTGTATGATTCCTGTTAGATAATGTACACATCGTTATCATCCCTTTTTGCTTTACATTCTCTCCAATGTCTTAACATTTCCCCAATGTCTTCAAGTCTTCAAAATGTTTTAATGGTCATATATAATACGTAGAAATCAAAGTTTACCCATAATTAATTATTCAGTCACCAATTTGGAAATTTCCAACTTTGCTCTTGTAATTCATTCTTTCAAGACTATTTATTGAGTGCTTACTTTAAACATGCCAAAGCCAGGCCCTCTACAGGCAAATCTGGGGGCGAGAATCAGGCATCAGTATTTTTTGGGAGCTCCCAAGTGACTCCAGGATGCAGGCAAGTTTGGGAACTGCTGAGACCGGCTTGTTTTTTAAGTTCCTTGAAGATTGTGATAGGCAAGCAGGGTTGAGCATCACTAGCTTAGCCTAATGGTTTTCAAACTTGAGCACACATCCATATCACCCGGAGATGGAACTCAGATTCAGTCTCTAGCCCCAGAGCTTCTAGTTCAGTAGGTGTGGGGTGGGGCCTGAGAGTTTGCATTTCTCACTGGTTCCCAGGTGGTGATGCTGCCTGCTGGTCTGGGGACTACACTGGGAGAAGTACTGCTGTAATGGGACTGGGGGTTCTCCAATCTCAGTGGGAGGAATGGAACCCAGGAGTGGCAGAGGCTGGATGCGTTTTTAAACGGTTGCTTATTAAACAGAGACAGGATAAACATAGTCATCCCAGGAAGCCACAGGGCTGCTGTGGTAACCAGGGCGTTTTGACTGGCAGGGACCTGTGGTTCTAATCATGGGGTCCCAGAACCATTTCAGAGGACTGGCACCTGTGAAGGTGAATGCAGGGTTAGATAAGGGATGTGTATGGTCAGGACACAGAGCCATTGGTACAGGCTGTGGAATAGGAGGAGAAGCTCCAGACTGTAGGATGGGCAGGCCGTGGAGGGTAGGTAGTGACCTATTTCGTGATGGTTCAAGGACAAAACCTGAATTAGGAATGGGCCGTGTCTTGAGGCTTCCACAGCCAGAGTGCTGACAATAATAGGAACGAAACAGCACCGTTCTATCGCTCTTCTCTCTGGGAGCGTTTATTGTGCGTCCCCTGTGTTTCAGGCACTGCCAGTGTTGCGGATGAATAAGGGCCCAGTCCTGGCCCCAGGGTAGTCTGGGCCAAACGGGGAAGACAGACAAAAACAAGCACATAGAAAATAATTACACACTCCTAGAACAAATAAGTGAATTCGGCAAGGTTGCAGGATACAGGAGCTGCACATAAAAATCAATTGCATTTCTATACACTCAAAATGAACATGGGGAAATGAAAATTAAAAACATAGTACCATTTACAATTGCTTCAAGGAAAATGAAACACTTAGGTCTAAATCTAACAAAGCAGGTATAGGATCTGTAGGCTGAACATTTAAAATTGCTGATGAAAGAAATCAAAGAAGACTCAAAATAAATGGAGGGACATACTGTGTTTGTGGATTGGGAGACTCAACATAGCAAAAATGTCAATCGCCCCCAAATTGATCTATAGATGTAATGTACAATAGTTCCTACCAAAATCACAGCAAGGTCATTTGTAGAAATAGGCTTATTCTAATGATTTCATGGAAAGGCTAATGGCCTAGAACAGCTAAAACAATTTTGAAAAAGAAGAATAAAGTTCGAGGAATCACTCTATCAAATGTTAAGACTTACTATATAGCTATAGTAATCAAGACAAATGTGGTATTGGTAGAGATAGACACACAGATCAATGGAGCAGAATAGAGAACCCAGAAATAGACTGCAGATATGTCCAAGTGATTTTTGACAAAGGTGCAGAAACACTCCAGTGGAGGAGGAATATAGCCTTTTGAACGAATGGTGCTAGAGCTATTGGACATCGTAGGTAATAAATGAACCTAAATCTAAACCTCCTGCCTTATACAGTGAAAATGGATGATGGACTTAAATGTAAAACATAAAACTATCAAGCTTTTAGAATAAAACAGGAGAAAAGCTTTGGGAACTAGGCCAAGAAGAAGAGTTCTGAGTCTTGATACCAAAGTATGATCAGTAAAAAAAATTGATACTTTTTTATTAAAAAAATCAAAATTAAAAACTTTTTCTCTGCAAAAGAGGATGAAAAAACAAGCTATAAAGTGTGGGAAATATTTCAAAGCCGGATTTTGAACAAAGGACTTGTATCTGGAATATATAAAGAATTCTTAAACCTCAACGGTAAAACAATCCAGTTAGAAAATGGGCAAGACATGCACAGACATTTCACCAAAGAGGACATACTGTGTGGCAAATAATCACGTAAAAGGATGGTCAACATCATTAGTCATTAGGGAAATGCAAATTAAAACTATAATGAAATATTACTGTATACCTACCAGAATAGTTAAAAAAAAAAAAAGAAAAAGGAAAAAATGATAACACCAAATGCTGGTAAGCATGTGGAGAAACTGGATTACTCATACATTGCTAGTTGGAAAGCAAAATGTCATAGCCACACTGGAAAATACAGCTTAGTAGTTTCTTACAGAATTGATATGTATGTACCATACAACCCAGCAATTGTATCCTTGGGCATTTATTCCAGAAAAATAAAGACTTAGGTTTACATAAAAACCTGTACACAGATGTTCATAGCAGCTTTATTCATAATTGCCCCAAACTGAAAAGAGCTAAAATGTCCTTCAGTGGGTGAGTGGTTAAACAAACTTGGTACATCCATACCATGGAATACTCCTCGAAAATAACAGGAAAGAAACTATCAATATACACAACAACTCCGATGGATCTCAAGGGAATGATGATGAGTAAAAAAAAAAAAAAAATCACAAAGGTTACATACTCTATAATTCTATGTATATAACATTCTTGAAATAACATAATAGAGATGGAGAACAGATTAGTGGTTGCCAGGGCTTACTTAGGGCCTACGGGGTGGGGTGGAGGTGTGGCTATAAAAGGGTAGCGCAAGAGAGCCTTGTAGCAATGGAAATGTTCTGTATCTTGATTGTGGTGGTTACATGAATCTACATGTGTGATAAAATGGCATAGAACTAACACACACCCACACACACACACACACATGGAAATAACACTGGTGACATCTGAATTTGCTCTGTGGATTGTACCAATGTCAATTTGTGATATTATACCATATACAATTCATCTTATAGTGCAAGATACTACCATTAGGGAAAACTAGGTGAAGGGTATACAGGGTATACAGGACCTCCTTGCACATCTTTTTGCAACTTTCTGTGAATCTATAATTATTTAAAAGTTTTTTTAAAGAAGGTAAGTTATGGGAAATGCTATCAAGGAAACCCACAAGGGGCTGAGATGGAAAATGAAAGGAAGACCTTTTGATGGGGTGGCAAAGACCTCTGGAGAGATGCTCTTTAAGCTGAGAGTGGAAGATGGGGAGGGGCCATGGAGGAAACTTAGCCAGGCCTTCTTTCCTCAAAGGAAACTCCACCAAAGAAGCCTCCTGACCAGAGATGTTCAGCACGTCTCTGGACAGAACCAGCGCTTGGCAGGAATGTCTTGCTTTTCTTCTTGGCTCCTACTCCCTCCATACTCTCCAGTCCCCTGAATTGATGCTCTTCCCCACTTTTCTGCCATCAGCCTGGACAAACTGCTTGATGCTGGTCTCTATACGGGAGAAGTGACTGAAATCGTAGGAGGCCCAGGTAGCGGCAAAACCCAGGTACACAGGCAGCCAGCAGCCAGGATAGGGGGAGGTGGGTGTACAGTCCTGGATCCCTGGGAGAGTTTCTGCCAGTGGCTTGTGATTCAGAGCTCAGAAGAGAAGATGGGTGGGTGAGGAGTAGGGCTTGAACTTGACTCATTCGTGTCCCTGGGATCTGGACTAAATTTGGTGGGGAGCTCCCATTCTGGGTTCTCTTTGAAGGCTCAAGGTCACCCAACGCCCTGTCTCTCTATTCAGGTATGTCTTTGTGTGGCTGCAAATATAGCCCATAGCCTACAGCAGCATATCCTATACATTGATTCCAATGGAGGGCTGACAGCCTCTCGAATCCTCCAGCTACTTCAGGCCAGAACCCCAGATGAGGAGGAGCAGGTAAGGGACAGGAGGAGGCTTGGGTTCCTTTGAAGCTCTGACACATGAAGACTCCATTATCCTTTACATTGCAAGGATTTTGGCCATTTGGATGAATAGTCATTTCTGGCTTTGAAACTTGCTGTGCTATTAATACTTTCTGTATTCTTCAAGCCTCCCCTCTTATGACATTATCCTAGCTTGAATGCTACCCATACTAGCCTTCCAGGAAACCCAACTCTTTGCATGCCCCAATTCAGGGCTGGCAAACACCTAGCATCTGGGTTTCTTTTCCATATCTTGCCCGTGGCAGATACCACTAATCAATCGTATCATTCCTTCCCACTGAGCGCTGAGGTGGCTTTGCAGCCCAGCACCCGGGCAGCTACCACTGTGAGAACTGTCTCATTAGACAAAACCCATTTGCCATCCTGGACCTGAGTCCTTGTATCTAGGTGCCTCTTCCTGCTCAGCCTTAAAATCCCTCTTCATCTTGCTTGACCCCCTGTTCCCTTCATTGAAAGCCCCTCCTTCTCCTTCCCACCCCTTTAGGCAAGAGCTCTCCAGAGGATCCAGGTGGTGCATGCCTTTGACATCTTCCAGATGCTGGATGTGCTGCAGGACCTCCGAGGTGCTGTGGCCCAACAGGTGAGCCTGCTGTCCTTCCCCGTTTCTGCTTCACCCAGCTTGCTGGGTGCTATCTGTATGTGGGCAGGTGCCCTACTGCAGACTCTGTTTGGAAATGCAGATGTGCAATCTGGTGGCTCCAGCTGTGCTTGCCACTCTCAGGTGGGATTCCTGAGTGCCTAATTCATTCCTGCTTGCCTCGTTGTTTACATGCTCACCTTCCCCACTAAACAGTAAGCCCCTTGAGTGCAAGGATCATGTCATATTCATCTCTGCATTCCCCCACTGGATCAGTTTTCAGCTGCAAGTAATAGAGTCTGTCTGAAAGACACTTGAACCTTGAGGGCATTTAATTATCTCACATGAGTCTGGAGGTTGGCAGAGCAGCAATATCAGAGCTCCAGGTTGGTGTGTCTGATTCTCTTGCTTTTCCCCCTCATGATTGCAAAGTGGCTGCTATAGCCAAAAGCCTCATGATTTTATACATCTATGTCCATATTCAGGGCAGTGAAACTCAATACCTCTTTTCTGTACCTCTTCCCTTTAATCAGGGATGAAAATCTTTTCTCCAAAACCACTAGTAGACTGCCCACTTCCCCTTATATCTAGTTGGCCAAAAAGGAGTTATATGTGTATCTTAGACTAGGGGTTGGGCCCACCTTCCCTGGTGTCAGGAGATCTCTGCCCAGTACCTGACCACATTCAGAGTCCTGTTAACAAGGAAGAGGGGTTCAGAATGGCATTTGGGTTGGTGTCCCACTACACCTGCTAGGCGCTTAGACAAGATTTGATGCACTGACTTACAGACTATTAGATTTGGAAGACATCTTAGAATAGTTTCATTCATCTTAAATGTTGTCTCTCACCCCAAAGCATGACATGTTCCCATGGGCATGCCCAGAATTGTATATCATTTTTACAAACTTCAGAACATAAAACAGTTGAACTGCTACTTCCAATAGGAGTCAGAGCTGGTTATGACTTACCTGTGTGCTGAGACCTAAAGTCATATAGTCCTGATCTAATCCAACCCTCTCATTTCCAGAGATGAAGGCTAGAGAAGTTCAGTGAAGTGGCCCAAAGTCATTACATATGTAGAATAAGAATTAAGCTTATAACCTAAATCTCTTCACTCCCAGGTCAGACTGTACTTTTTACTGTAGGACCAGAAGATGGTATATATTCTATTACTGTGTAACAAGTTACCACAAACTTAGTGGCTTAAAACAACACATTTATTACCTCACAATTTCTGTGGGTCAGGAGACTGGGCACTGCTTAGCTGGGTCCTCTGCTTAGGGTCTCAGTAGAGTGTAATCAGGTGGTGGCTGGACTGTGTTCTCATCTGAAGGATCAACTAGGGAAGAATTCGCTTACAAGTCTACTCAGGTCGTCGGCAGAATTCATCTCCTAGCGGCTTCAGTTTCTTGCTGCAGTTGGCCAGAGGCCACCTTCAACTCCTAGAGGCTGCCCACTGTTCCCTGCCATGCGGCCCTTTCCATTGGCAGTTCACAGCATGGCCACTTGCTTCTTCCAGACAGCATGAGAGTGAGCAAAATGCAACACACACCTTATATAACATAACATAATCACAGGAGTGGTGTCTCATTCCCTTTGCCATGTAACATAGCCTAATTAAGGGAGTGACACTGCAACACCTATGATCTTTTATTAGTCAAGAAGCAAGTCGTAGGACTCACCCATGGTCAAGGGGAGGGGATTATACAGGGGCTTGAGAACCTAAAGGTGGGGATTGTGGGGGCCACCTTAGGGGTCTGTCTGCCACAGATGACCTGATAGCACCATAGTTACAAGTAGGGAAAGGCTTGCTGTCTCATTTGAGCCAGAGATTTCAACTTGCTCTCCTAGAGAGTAAGGAAGGGCTAAGCTGATTTCAGTTTTAGCTTCTCTTGTTTCTGCCATCCTTTCTTAGACAAGCTGATGTCTGGCCAAGAGTCAGTAAGTGGAAGATGAGGGAAGACACGCAAAAGGCAGAGCAGATAATGCTGAATATCCAAGACGTGGCCGACAGGAAGTGAAAAAAAGTTGTGCAAACACAATCGGCAAGTGACTAGACAAAGGAGTAAAGGAGAAGAGAAGGGAAGCATCAAAGACAGTTTAGGCCCAAGAAACTAGGAGGATGCTAATGCTTGTGTAGAGACAAAAAAGTGTGGTTTTAGCAGATGACTGTCTACGTATATGGTCTACATTTGGAACCATTTTAGATATGGAAGATGAGGCCCTAGAGGCCTGATCTAGGAGGAGACAGTGAAATAAAGAGAAGGCTGAACTCAAAAGAAGTTAGGAATTTGGGAAGTAAGCAGGAAAGGGAAAAGAGGGGCTTGGCAGGATGGTGGAGGGCGGGCCCTAAGGAAAAAGATGGCCACTAAGAAAATCCCTGACGGGAATCTGAACAAGAATTTCTCAAATTTAATTATTTTAGGGTATTATGATGTCCTGTAATTTAAACCCTCTGTATCCACCCAAGTCTTCAGTAAAATCTGTTACACATCCAAATGGGGGTGGGGAAAAACGACATTGCTGACATTGGGTGATGCCTGCACAGTTGTCAAGGGGGTTATCAGTTTCTGAGAGGCGCAAGCTTGTCCTATAATGGGAGCCCCCTAGAGGCCAACTGGTTCAGTGCCCCTCGTTTCCTTCAACCCCCAGGTGAGCGATTCTTCAGGGACTGTGAAGGTGGTATTTGTGGACTCAGTCACCGCCGTGGTCTCCCCACTTCTGGGAGGTCAGCAGAGGGAAGGTGAGTGATGTGACAGAGCCCAGGTTCAGAGACACAATCTTGTCTCCCAGCTCTGGAGTCTGGTCTCTGGCCAGCCCAGCCCCTGCTGCCCTGCTGCCCTCCCCCTCTGCTTCTCCTCCTCCAGGCTTGGCCTTGATGATGCAGCTGGCCCAAGAGCTAAAGACCCTGGCCCGGGACCTTGGCATGGCAGTGGTGGTGAGGAAGTGGGCTTGGCCAACCGTGCTTGTTTTACCTCTGATCCCTGGGCTTCTTCACCAAGCGGGGAGAGCAACACGATTTCTAGCTATAGCTCTTTATTTCCCTTAAATAGCAGCTTCTGAACCTTTAGGAGACTGGTCCTTTAGGAAAGGGTCACAGCCCAACTTCCCTGGGTCATCTAGAGCATTGGCCCATGAAGGAATTGGACCATAAATAGCCAAGGGATCAAGGACAGCCTTGTTTTTCTTTTTATTTTCTTTAAGTCAGGATAATTGAGGTAAATTCATATAGAGTAACTTTCTCCTTGTTTGCAGTTTGACTAACAGATACCATTGTATTCTGGAGTCAAATTTGTAATTAATTTTCACATCCATAGAAACCATGTTTTTACCTATGTCCATAGAATGTTTTTTCTCTGCATATATACGTATACTTTTTAACCAGCTTTCCAACTAAACTAACCTTGTTTGAAAAAAATAGCTTACCATCTCATTGCACTTCCCGTGTCTTTAAATAGATTCTTTAAGAATGCCATTTTTGGGGCGGCCAGGTGGCTCAGTTGGTTACAGCACAAGCTCTGAGCAGCAGAGTTGTGGGTTCGATTTCCACATGGGCCAGTGAGCTGCGCTCTCCACAACTAGATTGAAGACAACAGCTTGAGCTGAACTGCCAGTGTGCGGCCAGGTGGCTCAGTTGGTTAGAGCGCGTGCTCTTAACAACAAGGTTGCTGGTTTGGCTCCCGCATGGGATGGTGGGTTGCGCCCCCCACAACTAGATTGAAAATGGCGACTGGACTTGGAGCTGAGCTGCGCCCTCCACAACTGAGATTGAAGGACAACAACTTGATTTGGAGCTGATGGGTCCTGGGAAAAACACACTCTTTCCCAATAAAGTTAAAAAAAAAAAAAAAGGCAGATTAAAAAAAAAATGCCAGTTTTAGTGGTTACGTAATATCTTGTTTAATATCTATGTTACAGGGGTTGGCAAACTTTTTTTGTAAATGGCCAGATAGTAAATATTTGAGGCTTTACAACCTGATGATCTATGTCACATCTACTCAACTCTGCCCATATAGCATGAGAGCAGCCATAGAGAATACTTAAACAAATGGGCATGGCTATGCTCCAAGAAAACTTGATTTTCAAAATAAATTTTTGGTGGGCTGGCCAAGTGGCGCGTTGGTTAAGAGTTGGCTTGGTTCGCCAGCTCTGAGCAGCAGGGCCTGGGTTTGGATCCCACATGAGGGCCAGTGATACTGCACCCTCTACAGCTAAGATGGTGAACAACAGCTCGACCTAGAGCTGGGCTGCTGTGGGTCTCCAGTGACAGCATAGGCTGCAGTGGGGCTGGCTGGCATCTGGCGTGAGCTTTCATGAGCTTCCTGCTGTGAGCGGCTATCCAGTGGCCGGCGAGCGACTGCCTCACCCGGGAAGAGTGCAATGATAATACCAACATGGGCCAGTGAAGTGACATCCTCCACAACTAGACTGAAGAACTAAAGGACAGCAATTTTTCTGGTCCCCTTCCCCAATTCCCCAACGCTGTTCTGCTCCCCCAATTCCTCAATAAAATCTTTAAAACAAAAACAAAAAAACAACAACAAACTTTTGGGCCGGATTTGGCCTGTGGGCAATAGTTTGCTGACTTTTAGTATACCATGATGATCTAACCATTTCCTGATTTGGGGCTTTTAGGTCATTACCAGTTTTCCTTTATTTTTTTATTTTATTATTATTTTTTAAAAGATTTTATTGGGGAATTGGGGCAGGGGAACAGTGTTGGGGAATTGGGGAAGGGGAACAGCCAAGTTGTTGTCCTTCACTCTTAGTTGTGGAGGGTGCAGCTAGTTCAGCTCTAAGTCCAGTCGTCATCCGGCCGCCCATCGGCAGCTCACGGCCGCTCAGTTCAAGATGCTGTGTTCAGTCCTAGTTGTAGGTGTGCATAGCCCACCATCCCATGCGGGAGTCAAACCGGCAACCTTTTTATTAGGAGCATGTACTCTCACCAGCTGAGCCATCCTGCTACCTGTTGGCAGCTCAGCGGCAGCTGAGCTCGGGCGCAGCTCACTGGCCCATGTGGGAATCGAACCAGTGACCCTGTTGTTCGGAGTGTGAGCTCTTAACCAACTGAGCCACTCGGCCAGCCTAGTTTTCCTCTGTTTTAAATAAAGCTGTAGAGAACACCCTTATACCTAAATCTCATTGCACATCCCATATTATTTTCTCAAACTCCCCAAAGTATAATTATTGAGTGAGGGATATATATATATATTTATATATATATATATATATATATATATATAGTAATACCTTGGTTTGCGAGCATAATTCGTTCCAGAAACAAACTACTCATATTGCAAGACATTGCTCGTTTACCACGTTAAAATGTATTAGAAATGTTGCTCGTCTTGTGGAACACCCACAAACCAAGTTACTCGCAATCCAAGGTTTTACTGTATATATGTATACAGTAAATATATATATATTTTAAGGAGGGTGCAGCTCATAGTGTCCCAGGCTCACAGTGATTGAACCGGAAACCTTGGTGTTATCAGCATCACGCTGTAACCAACTGAGCTAACTGGCCACCCAATACATGTATTTTTAAATGCCTAGATATGACATTGCCAAATTTCCAGGAAGGCTATATTAATTTGTGCTCCCACCAGTAGCATAAGAGGATGTGTTTTCCTGTTCTTTTGTTCTTATACTGGGTCCTAGGGCCTCCCTCACACCTGCTGTGTGCCAGGCTCTGGCTCAGGCAGTGGGGATTCAATGATGAAAAGCCACAGCCTCTGCCCTGGGTAACCAGGGGGTGGGTGGGGAGAACCTCATCAGGAGGATACTGTGAGGCTCGGCTTGCTTACCAGTACTTGCGACTAGTCTTGACAGAGTAGAGCTGATCAACTAGATTAGGACTCCCCTTTCAAAACCCCATCCCCTTACACACAGATCCACCCCTGACACAAAGGCCGAATGGACATGGTCTCAGGATGCCCATCTGCTGGGTTGGGGGGTAGTAGGCTAAAACCCACCATGGACCTCCCTTTGGGAAAGTGCAGACAGCACTGCTGATTTCCAGACACATGCCCCATCACCTTTGTTAGAGTCAAGCGTGAGGCATCGTGGTTTAGTGGAAAGAGCTGTGTACAAGTCAGGAGCCCGGGGTTCTAGTTCCAGACCTGCCATGGGTAAGTTATGGAGCCCTGGGGAAGGCATTTCTCTGCGCTAGGCCTCAGTGTTCCCATCTGTGAAATGAAGGCGTAGGAACAGTTGGCCTCTATACTTGCATTATGGATCTGCAAGTCTTTGACCCTTTCTGCCGCAGGTGACCAACCACATGACCCGAGACAGGGACAGCGGGAAGCTCAAACCTGCCCTGGGCCGCTCCTGGAGCTTTGTGCCCAGCACCCGGATTGTCCTGGCCATCAGTGAAGGAGCAGGAGCACCAGGCACTCAGCGCACAGTGTGTCTGACCAAATCTCCCCGTCTGGTGAGCCGGCCCCAAGGGATAGGCAGTAATCTGGGATCTTGAGGGTGGTTTCCATATCCACAGATGTCTTATAGAGGAATTCTTGGATGCTGAGACCCTGCAACCAAAGAAGCTACCCACTTGGGTTGTTTAAATGAAAAACTTACCCTTCCTTCCTGTTTCCTTCCAGCCGACAGGTTTCCAGGAGACGGTAGACATAGGGACGTGGGGGACTCCAGAGCCGAACCCAGTGTTACAGGAAGATCAGATAGGACTGTGCTGTTGATTGGGAAGGGGGAAGACATCAAGGCCCCTAACTTTCCTCAGGAATGCCTGCTGTTCACTGCCACCCAGCACTCCAGACTGCAGGAGACGCCTTCGGGCTGGGTAAAAGGGACATCTCGGTTTCTTCAGCTTCTCTCTCTGTGGAAACGTATAGAATTACAGACAAGAGAAGATGCTATGGTAGAAGGACCCAGAAATTCATGCTGGTGCCAAGTTTTCTCCCCTTGTTTCTGCTGCGTATGTTTCCAGTGGGAGCTGCATTCAGCTTGGCTTGGGGCACCGCTGAAGAGGCACACTGTACAGTGTGCCTCTGGATGGATAACCAGAATGACCGGATGGATAACCCTGTGTGCCACCATCACACCTGGACTCCATCCTGACACAATAACTGAGCCAATAAGTCTCTAGCTTGCCTGTGCTTCTCGTCTTCTTTTCTTTCTTTCTTTGGCCTCTCTTTTTCCAACTGTAAAAAGAGGCTCCCTTCCTCTTAGCTCCCTTTGAGTTACCGGGTTGAAGTAACCTCATACATGACTCTTTGTCACCTATGTCCTGCTTTTAAAAATATAAAAAGGAAATTCCCTGAGCTCTGGAGCCACCTCATTTCCCCTCAGAAGGTTGTTTTTCAGTTTCCCCCAGCGAGTCCCCCAAAACGGTTATTCCTCTTTTGCGCGTGCTGATTTGGTCTCACACACCTGCATGCATCACCAGGACTAGGTGAGACCAGGAGCTCGCCGCAGTCCCAGGGATATAATTCAGCAGAAGGGGAAGATGCGACCTGCTCCTGGTGAATCCAGCCATTTGTTTAATATGCATGGTGCCCTGTGGGGCCCCTCCACAGGATAGAGTATCCAGAGGTGCTGAACCATGGCCTTGCCCATAAACAGACAGAGGAGAATTTGCTCAGTAAATAGAGCCAGCTGGGAAAATTGATGCTAGCATAAATAATACATGGCAAATCTAGTCTTTATGCAGAAATTCATTGCCGGTGGCTCCGAGATGCAATATAATTACCCTTCTCTTCCTGCCAGCTGTACCACAGCCCAGTGCCCTAGTGTATGAAATAACGCCCCCTGTCTGTTACCAGCACAGTGGCCATCCATCTGAGAGCTGTAACCGTGGCTGCGGGAGGAGGAGGACACCAGGGAAAGGAAAATAAAAGGCAAAGTAGAGACATGATCAAGATTGTTTACTGAACACATTTTTTAAAGGAAGGTCGCCTTTCTCTGTTGGAGAGCCTATTGTGTAATTAATTACTTGTGTCTTGGCTGCAAGAAAAGGTGGAAGATATGACATTTAGCGATGATAAACGCAGCAGGGATAGAAGCAAGAAGCACGGAGGATTGGAGATGTGTAGCAGACCAGCTGGAAAGTATCTGCCTGAATGAGGACGGTCGGTGAGCCTAACTGCAGGAACCCTGGTGCTGCTGCTCTCACAGTGGACCCCAGGAGAAAACCTCCAGTACTTATACCATGAGTGGCTGGCATTTTTCTGCCACCATGGTAGGAAACAATACATTAAGCTAGGAATGGCAAATACCTGTCCACTCTTAATTTGGTCATCCTGAACCTGTGCAGACATCACCGATCAATCAGCCGATCAAACTGCAGATCTCGGAGTCTTGCAGTTTTCCTCCACACAGCACTCCAGGTAACCACAACCAATTAGTTGGAATTGGCATTCAGGCTGGAGCCGGGTTATCATCTTAACCAGTTCCCCAGCATGCCTCAGGCCAGGCTGGCGCTTCTACCCAAGTGCCTTTTGCTCCCTTATATGCTTCCTCTGTCCCCAACCCCCGCCTCACACACACACACACACACACACACACACTGTGGCTGGTGCACACCCACCCTAACATCCTTTCTTAGGCCTCAACGGTGGTCCAGATAGATGTTTCTCATAATCCCCCTGTACTGCTCATCTATACTTTCTGTTCACTTGTCTGCCCATGAGCCTAAATCCACTTTAAGGGCTCCTATGTTAATTTTTCCTTCGTTCTTTACACATTATGGGAGCTCAGTAATTGTTAAATATATGAATGGGTGGGCTTTAATGTGTTTTAAAGATGATAAAGGAATTCAGGAATTTTTTTTTTTCCTGATCTTGATAGTCATTGAGTCCCGAGAGTGTCTTTTTATGTACATTTCTACAGAGGACTATTGTATGTCCTTGGCTCAATATTAGACAAAATTAATGTTGAGTCCCTACTATGTGCTAGTACTTGATGACTTTAAGTCAGGCACTTTGAACTCCCCAAGACTCTCTCAGGCAAAAGGTCTGTGTGTCATTGAGGCTGCTCTCTGCTACAAGTAGCAAAACCTGGCTTAAAGAGGCTTAAACAATAAGGACATTTATTATTTCTAGGAACATGAACTCCAAGATTGGCTCATTCAGTGGCACATTGTCAAGGGGCCTAGTAAGGCCTTTCCATCTTTCTGCTTTGCTCTCCTTTTGTGTTGGTTTTGTCTTCAAGCTCGTTTTCATCAAAGCCTGGCTGCAGCTATTGTGAGCATCAATCCAGATAAGAAAATATTTACAGGCAGGAAAAGGAACACCTCTTTGTGTCCTTTCGTGAACCAGGAAAAATCAGAACTTCCTTCCAATGAAAGCAGACTTACCTCATATCTCATTGGGCAGAATTGCTTCATGCACCCATGTCTAAATCATGGCAAGGGAAATGGGGCCACTGTGATTGGCTCAGATGAACCAGGCAATAACCCTGGAGCTGGCGCTGGGGACAGGCTTCCCTTAAGCACATCCTGCGATCATTGGAAGAAAATGGGGTTGCTAATAGACAGGAGGAAGCGGGTGTGGAGGAATTGGACATTGGGTGGGCAACCGCTAGCGTCTGCCACAGTCCAGAAGGCAAGTTTATTGAGGCTCTCATGCTTTGGCTCCTTATACACATCTCATTTAGACCTTAGGACAGCCTGTGGATCCTTGGGGAATCATTTCAGACCATAAATGGGAGCTCAGTGAGGTTGACATAAAGCTAATAAGTAGCAGCACCAGAATCCAAATGCAAATCTCTGATTCCAAACCCTACTTCTTTCTATCCTCGTGCTGCCTTTGGCTGTGAATATAGAAATGTTTCAGTCAAATTCTTGTTCATATTCTGCCCTGATAGGAGCAAAGACCATGCATCCCAACCTCTTTTCAGCTTAGCTCACCATGAAAAGCTGGACCAGAGATCTACTTTATTAGCTCTTGCTGATTTTCCCTAGGAAAGTTGTGAAAGAATGACAAACACCCAGAGAAGGAAGATATCTTTGGTATTAAAGTCCACTGGAGCCTTAGGGGTAAATAAAGCTGAATAAAACCTACAGGGCCTACCTGTTCCTGAGATAGGAGCCAGGAGGAGATAAGGGACTTAGATGCATATCCCACTAGGTTTTGCTGTCTTCTGGCATGGAGTTGTACTGGGTAGAGTTAAAAGGGACCAGTTGTGTGTGTTGGGAATGGGCATTGGAGAAGGCTCTGTGGTGTATGGGACTTACATTAGAGCTAGATATATTACTCATCCAAAGTCGCCCTCAGAAAAGTGCTTTCCCTCATTTTTTTCCTTTTCCTATTGCTCTGGCTAGACTGACTTCCGGTACTAAGTTGAATAGAAGCAACTTAGTTGACTAGCCATTGTCCTTGTTCCTGACGTTAATGGACTGTGTCCAATATTTTATCATTAAGTAAGATGCCATAAGTTCCCTGTTTAATCGAGGTAAAGACCTCATCGCGTTTCTTGTTTGTCCTGGAGAAGGGAGTCCGGGTCCTGGCCATTACTTTGCCATGCATAGACCTCTCTTTCCCAGCCAATGGAAGGTCCATTCATCCTGGAGTTATAAAACTGCACTTCAACTGCTGCACAAGTTTGATTCCTTGAGTCGCCTTTGAGCCATAGCTCTCCTCTGACTCTCTGTAGTTTTGGGATGTAGTAGCCTCAATTTAAGCTTGGGTTTTGTCAGAAGACAATGGGCCTGTGCTGAAAGGCTACAAAGTCAAGGAATGAGATGATTCTACATCTCAACTAACTTGGTCTTAGCTCTGACACTCACTGTCTGTATGTCATTGGATGAATCACTTAGCCTCTTTAAGCTTTAGCTTCATCCTCTCTGAAATGGGGGAAAGCATACCTGCTGCATAGAATTGCTTTAGGGTCATATAGCTTAGGTAAAGCACCGAGCGCTTTTCCAGCATGTAATAGGTACTCAGTCTCATCACTGTGAGACGTATGATGCCTCGGAGATACTGCTGACAGCTTCCCTCCATCCAGGCAAGGCCAGCTTCGTGGTAGTATGACAAATGCAGTTGCACAGAGCCCTGTGCTTAGTTTAATGCTCTGCTTTTGCTATCCTGAAATGTTTCATACTTTTTGCACAAAGCTCCAACATTTTGCACTGTGCCCTGCAACCTATGTAGCCTGTCTTTAGGGATGGGTAGAACTCTTGTAACTGGCCCTTCGGGAAACACCCCGCCACTGATATTTTAGGGAATAACTCCCATAGAAAAACTGGAGTTAGCATCCTGTGTCTGTTTACCTCTAACTGTTCCATTCTGGGGTAACCTATACAGTCTCTCGCAAAGGAATCCTTTATATTTTACAGACTCTGTTAGGTCCAGAAAAGTCAAGAGGGGGCTGGTGGAGTGGAATGATGATTCGGGATTTTGGAATCAAAAAAAGATCTAGGTTCAAAACTCTGCTGGGCCCTTTATGGCCAAATTGCTTGGACAAGGTAATGTCTCTGTCTCTTTAATAAAATCTATGTTGCAGGGGAATTACATCTTCCTTCTTGGTACAATATATGTCTCAGGGAAATTAAACATAATTTATGTAACGTGCCTTTCACAGAGAGTCTGGCACATAGTAGGTGCTTAGTCACCATTAATTCCTCCGACTCTTGTTGGAAGTAAACATCAGGGCACTAGGACTTACAAGCCATGCTGTTACTAATAAAAGAAATAATGTGATTTATTTTTTCACTACTGTTTGGGGAAAGGCATGTGCTTCATAAATATGTATTGGAAAGTACTTAGCAAATGAGTAGAAATAATAAAAATATGTCAAAGTAAACAGCTCCTATAAATATGTCACTTGGTAGACAAATTAGTGTTTTATTACTACTAAATACAATTGCTCGCCGAAAAGGATTTCAGATTACTTGCACAATGGGTACATTATGGAGTGCCTCTGCGGAAGGGCATGATAAAGATGAAAAATAGTGATGTGATAATGCTAAAGGGGGAAAAGAGATGAGTGGGGGTAAAAGCAGCTCGGAGACCTCCTGGCTTCAGTGATATGCACATTATTTAGCAGCATTCCAATATTTTAGCTGTAATATGGACCAGAGGGCCCAGAAAAATGATTTCCACATGATGTCATGAAGCCACACTCCAATTATTGGGTTCATGGGTGGATTAAGCACACTCCCTTTTGGAACCGAACACTCAATGTGTAAACTTAAGTTTACAGGATGGGGTCCCACCCCATTTTGGACCTATTAACTTTCTATGACTATATTTAACATGGAGAGAAGAAGAAATCGGGTGGAGGATGCTGTCTTAATCACAGGTCACAAATCCATTTCAGAAATAAGAGAGGTCCTGACCTCTCAAGAGAAAAGGAAGCAGAGAGGGGGAAAGAGGAGACAATAAATGCCTTCATGTGGGAAAATAAAGCCCTGGAGAGAAGCGGAGAGGGCAGGGAATTGCATCAAGGAAAGTTAACAGCGTAGCAGGTAGGAAAAAGACAGGCACATTTATTTCAGGTGCGGGAGGCCTCTTAGAAGGCCAGTTTTTCCATGCATTCTTGGTGGTGGAAAAGACCCAGTTTCAAATTGCAGTGCTGCCTTTTTCTAATTGTGTGGCTTTGGGTAAATTACTTAATCTGCAAATCTTCATTAATAACATGGGTATAATACTACTCCATTTCCTGGGTTGTTGGGAAGTTTGGAAATAATACTTGCAAAGTGACAGTCTGCATGTATAAATATTTTTACTTCACTTTTTCTTGTGATATTCCATATTTTAAAATGCACCCCCCCCCAAAAAAAGGAATTTGCTCAGAAGAACTCTGGGAGGTCTCCAGTAAAACCTAAAGCATAAGAAAATTGTCAATGAACACCAATTGTAAGGATTCAAATTTATATTATTTTCATGACTAGGCATTTTCTTAGCTCACCCTGGCTAATGATTTTCCATGCAACCCTGGTGCTTTATAGGTTACTAAGCCTTCTATGTGCATTAGCTCATTTAAATCCCCATACCACCCTGCCTTTCAGGGGTGAGGAATTCTGGAGTTCAGAAAGGTTAAGTACTCTGCTGAAAGGTACATAGCTGACGAATGGCCAGGGCAGGCTCCTCAGCACAGAGCCTTTTTCATTCTACCAGGGCTTTCTTTTGAGCAGTTTTCTCATCTTCCTGGGGGTTTAGATTGTCAACTGCTAGAGGAGAGAGGTGCTATAGAGTGAATGGGATAAGCCTGGGTTTTGATGTTGACCAGAAAATTCTGAGAGGCTTTAAATTAAATTACAATGGGAGCAGGAGAGAGAACAGTTAGCCTGTTAATAGCTGGGGGCCAGGTGATAGACTGCTCACATTCCTGAATGAGTGTTGGAGCTTTGAATCAACATTCTGGCGTCTTCTAGCCGACTACTTGATGGGCCATCGCATCTTGCATATGCATGAACTTTCAGGATTATTCCCTGTAACCAATCAAATGTAGCATTTCTTCCTTACAGAATGTGCTCTCATCATAGAATTGCCTCCACTTCGCCTAATCCCATTCCTTTTATCTGTAGCCAATGTAAATTCTTTCAAAATAACTTACATTTTTCTTCCCCCTACTTGATGTATTAAAAAAGCCTGTCAACCCCAGGACAGTGGGATATATTGCCTTTTGCAGCTAGCACTGCTACTGGTAGTTTAGACTTCATGCCCCAGGGCCTGATCCTTTATGGTCCAATAAACCTTTTCTTTTATAAAGGCTTTCAACCACGGATGTTCTGTTTTTTTTTGTTTGACGGTGCCCTACATATCTGGCTTCTAATACCTCCCAGCTATGGGGCCTTGAATAGGCTAGTGAACCTTGATTGGCCTGGGTTTCCTCCATTGTAATTTGAGGAACCATCACCTGCTTATGGCATTGTGAGGAACAATGAAATCTGAAGGTGAGGCAACTTGCAAACTTTTATTATGAACCGAGTTCAGAGATATTAAGGGACTCGCCCAAGGTCACCAAGCTTGACCATGGTCCAGCTGAGGCTCGGACCTGGACCCCTCAGCTCCTCGCACAGAATTGGGTAGCCAAGGCAACGAGGAGCTGCAGACGCCCTGATACCCGGGAACTGACGCCTCGCCCCGCCTCCGGCAACCTCGGCTCCGCCAGGGGGCGCGCGCGGAGGCCGCGCTGTAGCCCGCCGCGCGCCTCGCCCCTCTCTATGGTGGCTCAGGCGCGGCGGGAGCGGAGGCGCGCTCCCGAGAGGGGGTGGGGCCGCGCG